TTTGGGGATTACAGAGCATAAGAAGCACTCTTAGATTAGATTTCCAATTGCATTTGTAAATTGCAAGACTGATTGCCTATGCAACAGGTCCTTTGGGGGGTGGGGTTGGGGTCACGACAAATCAAAGATCTTGTGTCAAGCGTCAACAACCTTAGGTACATGTTTCTTTTAATATGGTCACACGGCGTCACATCATGTGACCATAATCCTACTTCACTGTGTATAAACCTAATTAATATAATGGCAAACCCTACGGCAGGCTTCAGTAGATTCTAGGATTTAACATACAAAATATAATAGTGTAATGTCTCTTTAGGTTGACAGTGGCAGATCAATACATCTACTCCTTCTGCAACAGTCCAATATCAATATACCCTCTTAATATTGGCCATGGGAATAAAATAAGATCCAACAGCTCATAATCTGTAACTCATTTAAAGGCGGCAGCCAGAGAGGAATTCTGGTATTACTCTTCTCCCCGCCTAATGTACAAGCAATTTGCATGACTTAAAACAGAATCAAAGATAAGCTGCTAGGGATTTCTTCACTTGTTTACTAGAATTACTGTATTTTTTATTGTTTTGGTGGTTGGTTGTTGTTTTTGGTTCTGACCTTAGCGGCATTCCCATACTTTGGCTGTCATATCTACACTACCAGTGATGACGAACGGAGCAGACTTGTGGAAATCTGTTGAAAGGATTTTCACAAAATTCAAAATCGATATATTATCTGATTTTACATATCTACACTTTCTCACCCTCCCCACCTTTTGATAATTTTGTCCCTGTGTTTAAATTAGAGACACAATATTGCATGTGATTCCAAAAACACCCATACCCACCGTGAAGGAAATCAGAAATTCCCAGGAGGTGAGGGGTCAGAGAAAAAAAATTTACAAGGACTGCATGAAAGAAAATTGGAAATTCCATAGTGGTGGTGGTGACTGTTTTCCAAATTTCCTCCATTGTTGGGTATAGAAATTTTCTGAAACCACACATTGGATAGAAAGGCCTGGAGAAATGTTGTCACCTGTTGCTCATAAACCTAGTGTACAGAGCACAAGTGAAGAAGAGAGAGTGCTAGGGGAGGGGTGTGTAGGATGCATATGGCTATACTTACCTATACAAGTCACAAAATGGTCATGAGCCAGCAGCGTTTTTGCACATCTCTTGTTTTTATAATCCCAAATCCTAAGTGTTTTATCATCAGAACAGCTAATTATGTACTTTCCTCCTGGATGGAACATTACGCCTCGTACCCAATTATCATGTCCAACCTATGAAAAAAACAAAACAATAGCCATCAACATTGTAATCATGCACTTGTATAGAC